ACAAATCAATATATTGTTGTACATAAGGAACACATACACACACACACTTTGTTTTCCTAGTATTTTCTTGTTTTTTTTATTAATCTACTTATTGTATTGTATTTAATGAATAGTATTTTTATGAAATGTATTCTTAATGGACTTTGGTTTTCTTAATTAATTGTATTTATTTTTTAAACCTGTGTTTATTGTTGTTTTCAAATTATGAACGCTTTGGCAATAATTGTTTCTAACATTCATGCCATTAAAAGCATATTAAATTGAAAAAAATTAAAAGACAAAGAGAGAGAGAGAGAGAGATAAAGAGAGAGAGATGAGTCACTTAGCAATTGGAGGTCTAAAATTAACAGCCAATCAATTCAGGTGTTAGTAGCTGCCTAAATATAGAGCACCTATTACTTGCCTGAAAGATTAAGAGGAGTAAGAGGAGAGGAAAGGGGAGGAAAGGGGAGGAGGACAGGTGTGGAGAGGGAAAGAGATGGACAAAGGAGAAAAAAATGAAAGACACAGAAGACAGATAGAACAAGTGGGAGAAAAGGCAATGGCAAGAATAGGTGAGTGAAAGGTATGGAGGGAAGTAAAGGAGGGTAAAGACACTAAATAGAGAACAGCACTTCCCTAAACTGTTTCATGTTTCCATTGAAACGTGCTAGATAGAGAAAGGGAGCGAAATAGGCAAAATGAGAGAGAGGAACAACAAAAGAACAGAGTAAGTGAAAGAAGCAAAAAAATACCATTAAGCATATGCGACAGGAGGAGCTTTAGCATGTCAAAGAGGCAGGAGGAAAGAGGGTGAAAAGAGGGTGAAAAGAAGGAGAGAAGATAAGGTGAGCCCCCGCATGGTTGGAGCTGGGGGGGAGTGGAGCATAGCGCACGTTGAACTGGGTGATAACACTTGTTTGAAGTTCATTAAAAGCCACTTGATTGGGTTAGGCTGAGTGACTGACTGGGTGGCTGCGTGGTGAGAGAGAGGGGAAAGCTCTGTGACACTATTCACAAAGTCATTATAGATAAATGACAAACAGGGTGAGTGAGTTCAGTGGTGGAGGAGAGGAAGGAAGAGGTGGTGCATGTGTGTTTGCTCTCCCAAATCTCATTTTCTTAAGAACGAAGGGTCGTATTTGGAGAATGAAAATGAGTGGGAGAGCAAAGAGAGATGCAATCCATTTTTAATCACATCTCTTCCAGTTAATACACATGAACAATAGGGACAATAAATTTCATCTGGTTTGTGGAAATTAAGGCATGGGAAGCACTGGGGTATGACTTAACACGGCAACTAAAGCTGAATCTTGAGGACACAGATCTATACTGATAGTGGGATATGGTGATGAGGTGATATAATATTGTGTGCGTGCACACACACACACACACAGAGTCACACAGAGCATCACAGCTAAAATGCACTTGAGTGTTTAAAACCCTAAATCCCAGAAACTATACTTTGCACATGCAAGCAGATTCAAGGTAAACACACACTGACATGTAAGTGTATTCACACATATACACACATATGTATGCATACACATACACACACATATGTATGCATACAAATACAGAGAATAAACCACAGCCTTGGAATACGATAAACACCACAAGTCAAAGCCAGACAGCATCTTGTGCATCATCTGCCTTTCTGACAACATGTCATGGAAAACTTCAAAAAGCAAATGCCAACAGCCGCTGACTACACAGATGTAAACACACGTTGGCACTATTTCACCATTTCATTACCACCTTCCACAATTCCCTTTACAACACTGACAATCGGAATACATATATTTTTTTTTACAGTTATGCTTTAAATACCCATCCTTGCAGTCTCTGGTTAATAATCTTATAGTCACACATAAACACGCTCTTTCACACATACACACACAGGTTTATTTAAAACCATAAACTAAAGTCTTCCCAAGCCCTGTAATTGTGAAGCAGGCTTCCCCCACTACTACAAATTGTACACACTCACACAACTGCACACTCTTAGCCTTGCCAGAAGTACAAACTGTCATTCTGTTCAAAATCAGTAAAATCTTCAGTCTCTTTTTTAAAGTTTTGTGACAGAAGAAACAGCAAAATTTAAAAGCAGAAAACAGATGCCTTATTTGCTTCAACAACAATGAAAAATTCATAATGTGGCAGGGAATCTACAAGCAAATGTGTACACTGTCAGTGCTCTGTGTTTTTTCTCCTTAGCTCAGATGTTTCTGTTTGTGTGTATACATAGACACTTAGAAACAGCGATACAACACACTGTTATCATTGCCAGCAGTCCCTGAGGCCAAATTGGTTTGGACAAACACATGTGTATATGCTAGTTGGCTACCAATGCTGGTGGTGTTGGCAGTGATGCTCACTGTCGCCTGTTAAGATTTATGTCAACATTAAATTGATCTAATGTCAGAGCATTTATTTCTAATCCCACCCTCTCAACCCCCAAAGACTGAAGTGCAATAAATAACTATGGAGTAAATGCAAACCACAGATGTGTGCACAATAACCACATCCTACATGTACTCACACATACTCGTAAAAATGCACATACAGTACTGTAGCTGTGCGCCGTCATACAGAATACAAGAATTCAAATTCACAACTCCTGACAGCGGAAAGTGGGGTGGAGAAGTAAGATATAGATACAGACCACAGGTTACTCTGAATTAACCTACATATACATACATACTGTTAACAGTTTTCATTAACACACTATTTTACAATTTCCTTATGACAACATGTTCAATGAATTATTTAAATGGAAAATTTCATTTTACCTATTACATTGGGGTGTAGGCAGAGAACCATCTGCATGGGTCAGCAGGAGGCGAGAAAGTACATTCTAGATGTTAAGCAGACTAGTTTATGTATGTCTTTATGTGACTTTGTGTGAAGATGTGAACTTTAGTGACAGCCCTACAGTCATGTAATCAAAGGCTTGCACTAGAAGAAAAGTACCTGTCAAAAGCATGACTCATCATAACCACATAATAAGCCTGACTCCTGGCAACCAACTTTCCGCTTCTCTTTTTCCCCTACATAATTATCCTTCGTTCTTCCTTTCTCCATCACTTACTCATTGTTTTCTCTGACCTCATCTCTGATGATGCTCATGTTTTATACCCCCTTCATTTATCTCTCTCTACACCCAGCCTGTGTTATTCGTCCTATCTCGCTTACTGACCCTTCTCATTTCTCTTATCTCTTATCTTCTCACTGATTCTCTCTCCTCCTCTCTTTCCTGACTTCTTTTCTTCTCTGGGACCTACTTAGATCTGATAATTGGAGGCTGGTGGGAGGTGTGAAGGGTGGAGATAGGGAGAGTGACAGAGAGTAGGCAGCACAGTGGGAACTGTGAATGTAAAAGCCCTTGGCATAGTTTGAAGCAAGGGAAGAGGGAGGGTGAGACAGAAAGAGAGAGAAGCCCATAATTATAGCAGGGGAAGGTGTGAAGATGAAGAGGATCTTAAGTTTTCATACAGTACACGTACACACGCACACGCACACCTTGTGGTTACCAAGAACTCCCCTTAACTGGCCTCTGTTTTATCATCTCCTACAGAGCCTCGGGCAAAGACACTCTCCCGCTCCATGTTCATCCTTCCTCCTTTCCTGCTGCTCCTTACCTTGTTTCTATCCCACTGTCCTGTCCTCACCTTAAGTTTTTTTCCTTCTAAATACCTCTCCCTCTTTTCTCTTGCCATTTTTGGTCCCTCTCCTTGCACCTCTGTCCTTGCTCTTAAAGGAACATTAAAAGTATTACAACTTGGGTTTAATAGTTTTGGTCATAATTTTTTTGGTGATAACATTTTACTCACTAAACTACGGTAATTGCTCAGATCTGACAACATTGCAGAATTGCTGCAATTAAGTCTGACAGAGCAACAAACATAAGTATTTAGATGATCAGCTGGATTGTAAACAAACAGTTTAGCCAGATTTTTAAAAACACTTTTATTTCAAGGTGAAACCAAAAGTTAGTGCACCTGAAATGTCCGTAATAATCCCTCATTACATAGAAAAACTGTGTTTACATACAGCTATGGTAAGATCAGTAGATTGTCTGTAAACTGTGATGTTTACAACAGACAATTAGTTGGTAATAATTCTACAGTTTCTTTTTTTCAGCAACAGAGCTTCATTCCCTGATCTCAGCAACTCGTATAGCGACTCATAACATTATTACCAATAGAAATAACAAAAATAAGACCCAGGTTGTATGCAACTGTGAAAGATCCCCTCCTAGAGCAGTTCAATGGCATTATGAAGCACTTCAGTCTTTCACTTTTGGCATCTTTTCATTTCCGCCCATTTTGTGTAATTTGCTTTCATTCTCAATTTCGACCTATCCCTTTAGTCTGCACTCTGTAAATACTCAACTGACTCCTCAGCCGTCAGGGCCTGTGTATGACATTGATTTGTCTATGAATCGAACCAAAGCACCTCTCTCTACCATTCCTGTCCAACATTGGCAACTAACAGCTATTACAGCTGGCATTTAGCTGCTTTAATAAAATTATCTTGATCACTTCATCAATAGGTTCCTGGTAAATAAACTCCCAGGGATTGATCACCATAACACGGATAAGAAGTAACAAATACAGGGAAGTGCTAAGGGGTAATGATATATATTCGATAACATTAATATTTTGCTGTGTTATGTATCTCCCAACAAGCTGAATATATTAGGGAAAGGCTTGGCAGCAGCTAAAGTACTGAACATGTTGTGATGTAGACAGACAGAAGAAGAAAGGGAACTATCCTCCTGTGGTTTTCATTAGACAAAGAGAACTGGAAGTGTCCTCCGTTTCAGTTGCTTTAGGTGAGGCTATGTGTGCACTTTATGGATGGGGGATGCAGTAAGAAAAAGTGATAAATATGCAGGTAAACTAACACTGCTTATTGGGTAAACAAGCACAGCTTTTCCTATAATCAATGCAACTGTAGTGGTCAGGAATAACTTTTGGCTATTTATTCAGAGGAATCAAGTGAAGCTGCATGCATGTTCTTTGTCAGTGAGACTCATCAGAACGGCTAAGTCCTTGAGATGTGTGGAGGGCAAACAGGGACGTGGCCTTGGTTAATGTGCCAACAGGCAAACGTCTGATCCGTGTGCCCATATCATTGCTGGCATGAATAAAAAGGCACCCACTGTACACTCAGGCCTGGCTTTACTCTGTCCTGCCATGCATACTAACAACAAGCTCAACCAGTAGGGAGACTACCCTGGCCTTGATCATTAGCATAGCGTTAAGGGATTATTTAGATCAATGCCTGAAATCCCTTAATTGTAATAGTACACAAAAAGTCATCTGCAGCAGAAAGAGGCCATCCCATTTCACAAAGCAAAGTTGACTTGTTGCCTTTTGTGAAATTTGTGAATGATTCCATGGATAGTTGTGCATGTGTCTGCATGTTCTTAAGCTTGTATGTGTGTGTCTAAATTATTAATTCAAAACGGCAACCAAAAATCTGGAAGGAAACACATGACCTTGGATTTGAGGGGTTAATTAAAAGCAAATTAAAAGTCATTAAGCCTGCAAAACACCTGCTTTTTCTGAAACAACACGTCAAAAAAGGGATGTCATTAATGTGCAAATACTAAATCCCCTTCCCTTTATTTATGGTTTCTTTTAGTCAGCAACACAATAGGAGAGGATTCACACATTATTATCCTCAGTCAATATTGACCACCAGCCCCTGAGTTAATTGGAAAAGTAAACCTGCAAAGACTTAGGCTTGGGCCTGACTAAGCAGAAGGTTCAAAAGGATAATGGAAAAGGCAGAAAAAGAAAATAATATCATCTGCGCAGGTTGAATGGCTCGGGGGAAACATGGGTGGAATAACACAATTGAGAGCAGACTGCTCATCAAAGGAGGCAATCTGGCTAAGCTTGTCCCTGCCCGTCGTGCAGCGTCTGCCAACCCAGACATGAGCACTAGTGATCTTCATCATAGCTCACCTCAGGCTAGGATTAACAGGCCACTAACTCCCTATAAAAGCCTCCCCCTGAAAACTACCGTGATTTGGCAGGGTACAGGCGGGGAAAAACTGTATTCAGACAAACAAACAAACACACACAAACACAAACACACAAACACAAACACACAAACACACACACACACACACACAAACACACACACAAACACACACACAAACACACA